TATATTCAAGTCGCCTAATGATAGCACGCGTTATAGGAGAACAGACTGTATGTGTGTGTTGAACTTTCGCAACATACATGGCCAACCGTGCAAATCGGAGGTGCAGGGGAAGGACAACAAACTGAACACAAAAAGCAGATCTAAAGAAAAAATGAGTTTTTAAATTAAATGTAAAAACGCATAGCTCCAGTGTCTTTCTAATATCGGAGGCAAGAGCATTCCAGACGGCCGCAGAAGCGCATCTGAGAGCGCACGATGCGGTGACCGTCTTTGTTCGACGGTTTGCCAAAAAACGCTGCGAGGACGACCGGAGTTTCAGAAGGTGGCAGTGTGTTCCCTTTTGAGCTTCGTTTTCCGTCTGACACAAAAGAGTAGCACCGCCTTTCATGCCTGTCATTGGGATCATTGGTCAACGACTGTTGAAATGGCAAGATACCGATGTAGACAAGTCCCCTTGGCGATCTGATCGGAAACGTTGAAAACACGTCTCCAAGGCGTGTTTGCCAGCAGTCCTCCCAGTGTAATCGGGGCCACGGCGTCAGTCAAACCAGATAAGTCCATGCGCACGTGTGAACCCGTGGTGCATCACAAATGATACCTTGGGTGCTCTGACTGGCTGTGCCCTGCGGTTGCACGTGCAGTGTGTGATGTGGGGCTGGTGGCGCTTCGCTTAGCACGCTTGACTGACGTGCGATAACGTGCGCGTTCAAAACCGTGGGCTTGTCAAAATAATACCGCTTCGTGGGAAGGCAACGGCGATCGTCTTGTGGAGAGACTCGACCCCGCCATAGGAATGTTGAATTTCCAACCAATGGGGAGATGAGCACCAGTGCCAAAATGCCCAATTGAGCCGGAAATTACCTGGGCTCTTCATGACAGCGTTCGCCGTTGTAAGGTTCACACGGGCGCCGCCGCCGTTGACGCGCGGCCGTGAAACTACTTTTGTCACGAATAATAATTGCTGTTCTTGCCATTGGGCAGGCTGGCGAGATGAGGTGGCGGGGTTGGCGGAAAGATGGGAAGGGTTGGTGGTGGGGGGGGGGATGAGCAGACGGTGAGCAGGCAAAACAATTGGGTGGAGGGGTGTGGAGCGGGGGTGGGGGATACGATCCGTACGCCGGCGCGTTAGGGTCAGCCTCCGTTGACGCGGTGCACCTGGCCGGCTCGTATCTTGGGGGGGGGGGGGGCACGAGGGGGGCTCATTCACATTCGACTCGAGTCTAAAAAAAAATACCAAGGGACCTCCCGCGCGCTTACTCCCCACTCCTCCCCCACCTCCCACCCCGTCCGATTTAAGCGACAGCTATAACCTCCGAAACACCCGCGGCTTGCAGCCTCGTGTGCGCGTGTTTGTGTGGTATGCATTTTCGTTGTTTTCTTTGCAAATTTGCGAATTTATTTTGCTACCACCCTGCCCCACCTGGCGGCGAGCACCGTGACCCTGTGGGAGTCCTCGTCAAGCTCAAAAGCGCTGGGTTTTTGTGAAAAAGGGGGAGCAGAATTCTCAATTTCTTCTCCTCTACGGCGGTTTGGAGTGATTTACAGCCGCATTCAAATGCGCCCCGCTGCATTCTCTTTGCGCTTTTCAGCGGGTCGCGGGTCTCAAAAGTTACATCGTCGCGTAAGTGCGTGCAGAGAGGCAATTGCTCAGAAGGGGCATCATTGCCAGTAACTATTAAACTATTTTTTTTATTTTACCAGGTAATATCGGTCTTTTTCAGAAGTGACCTGGCCACACGTAATGAAAGCTTAACGACACGTGGCTTATCGTGTGGACATTTATAGCAGCCAAATACTCTAAAACGTATGCCGATTCTAAATGTGGAGGGGGAAAATCCACACGACCACGGGGGAGAATATACTGGCGTCAGGGTCGGGATCGAACCCACAAACTCCTATATACCAGGCGAGGTAGTTAACATCTCGCTAACGCTGTGCCCCACATCAGTCATATATCCTTGACAGTTTGTATCAAACATGACATTGATCGTAGAATATGGGGCAGCAGGGTACGCCAGTGATAATGTTTGTGCCTTCTTAGAGCAAGAAGGGGCACCTGGGTTCGATTCCTGATTCGCGTGCCTTCTCTGTGTTAAGTGTGTATTTTCTACCCCTGCTTTGCTGCGATGAATCAAAGGATTTATTTATCTGTTCCACTCGTGACCGATGCAGCATGTGGAAGTTTTCATCCATAAGTGGATTGACAATAGTTTGAACATATTTTTTAATGGGGGTTATATAATGTGCTAGCTTTACTTCCCGGCTTCGCCCGAGACTTGGATTCTTGTCTTGGATTAATACACGGCCTACGCGGAGGGTGGGGGGGGGGGGGATGCGTGACGTCAGCAGGCACACTGCGTGACGCTGCCGCATGCGGATGACATCATAGATGTGACGTCACCGCTCACTTGCCGTACAAAATATATCCATTATTGCGCCCCCCCCCCCCCCCCCCCCCCCAAAATACAAAAGTCTAATTTTTATGAATTTTACATTGTGTACAGTCTGGAAACTACCCACATGCAAAATTTCAAATTTGTGGCATGTTGGGAGGTATGCTAAACATTTCGAACAGACACACATATTCACAAATGTACCTTTTATATATAGATTATGCGCACCTTCCCATTCTTATAATATATTGAGCTATCCGTAAGGTGTGCCGGTAACTGGCTCGTTGTCAGTCTTTTTTTTGGCGGATGCTTTTACACGTGACTTTGGCACAGTTGGAGCACCAGATAACACAGGAAAAGCTAATGATCGAATACATTAATAAAGAAGCAAATGGCCAAACTTCCCGAGCAGGACCCTCTTCGAGGGAAAATGAGTCTTCGTATTCCCATGTAATTAAAGTTCACTTGGCATTACATCCATTACGTGAAGCGCACGATAGGTGGGGATGAGAGGCAAACTCTTCAGCGCACTCCTGTTTGAGTACTGGAGTGAATGAGCGGGCATCTTCTCAATAGCAATTCCCATCTCCTCAACCTTTTACCTCCCCCCCCCCCCCCATCTCTGCCCGTTTTAAACCAAGAATGACTTTGTAAGAGTGTAGGTCTGCACGTTGAGAACGCTGTGGTGGCAATGCTTGGCCAAAGTGGGAATACGTTTACGCTGTTAAAAATATCGATTTGATTGTCGAGCGATTCGTGAATCAGAATATTTATTCATACTGGAGGAATTCGATGGGGTGCGTGAGAACGTAAGAACGTATCTCTTGGGTGGTGACGTGGCCTCGCGGCAGCGAGCTCACCGCTCACGGTTCGAAATCCAGCGGCCGCCACGGTTATTACTGCGGCGTGTAATAGCTATAAAAATACTACGCGCGCTATCGGCTTCACTATGCACCTTCGAATACCACGGTTGTTTACTTACGGTGCGAAAGATGTTCACCGTACATGTGACGTTAAGGTTACCTTGGCATCGCTCGCAAGATGTAAGCCCGTTGAGTGCTGGCATCGGTGTCCAAATTCGGCAAATTCTAAAATTGCACTGTGCGAATTTACTGAATGGGCATTATACGCAGCAAGCCATAGCTCCCCTACTGGCGGGACTAATCCTCCAAGGCACCCTGGCAAACAAGACTCATCCTGGTCTCTTTGAGTTCCCATCAGGTTGAACAGAACAGACTGACCATGTCGGCTCTGGCCACATCGCATGCCGCCGTACCGCAGCGGCAGCTGTGCGGATCCTACGAATAATAAACCTCATCATCTCTGACCCAATTAGTGCCCCGTCACACGCCGTGGCCAATAGCAGAGCACACGCAGCTCAGCTCACGGGCCTCTCGTCCTGAAAAGAAAATGGGAAGGCGCGATCCCCCGTGTGTTTTTCTAACCGATGAATCATTTTTAAATCTGGCGTTTTGGCCTTGACATTGATGCACAGTACGTCAGCGTGCTCTGGATAATGCTGCGCCGGTGTTTTTTTTTTTTTACTCGGGGACTAGGGGCCAAATTCCCATGTAGACAAAATGGGCAGAACGTAACGGCCGTGGCGGTTTCCCCCCCCCCCATTATTGACGATGGAGACGCGGCAAGTTTTTCGCTCTCAAATTCGTCAAGATGGGAATCTTCCTCTTATGTACGGCCGATGTTGATGTCGGGCAAAAACGATAATTTTACCTCGAGGTGGTCGAGCCAGATGATTGCGTCAGGCAGGAGTAGTGGATTGATGAGAATCTGGAGCCGTGTGCATTTGTGATATCCCAGATTAGCGGTTGAGTGGTGGCGATGGAATTTGACCTGTTGGATCTGTGCTCGTTTGCTCCGTGGCAAGGCGGCCTGGTAGCTATGGTTGGTGGGGGTCAAGCGCTGAGCTCGTATCGCTGAGATCCTGCATTCGGATCCATCGCATTACATTCGGTTCTGCACTTAACTCTTTCCCATTCCAATGACGTGCGCGTACGTACGTGTGCGTATGTCATCACAACGGAATCGGAAGAAAAACTAAAATGAAATAATTTTATCGGTACGTTTTCTGACCTGAATACCTACCGAAGCTCCCGCAAAGCCATGCGGGAGGGCGTGTGGAACAGCTTGATGCCAGCTATCATAGAGTGCGGTCGTGTCAGTACATTTCTTTTTGGCGAGTACAATGTCTTTAAAAACAGCGGCGCTATGACTCTCTGAGTAAAATTAACGTTGACCGCTTGCGCGTTCCGAGATTCAGCGGTCAACGGGACTCCCCGCCCTGCAACTTGCAGACGTCTCGGAATGGGAAAGGGTTCATTTGTCATTGGATCCTGTCCATTCGGTTGTGGGAATTGTTCTCGCACTCACCGGCAAGCTGAAACGATAATGAGCGACGCTTTGTTAAAACGCTGGCAACGCGTGACAATTTCATTTGTTTGGCTGCGGCGGGTGACCGGAGGGCACTTGCAACATGAAATTGGCCCGGACGGTTGCGTGGAACTTGAAACAATGCTACGATGAATCGAGATACCCTCGCCACTTCGCCTGGTGACCATTGGTGCCATCCCTGCGTTGTGCTTCTCTCAGCCGCCGCCGTAGCGCCGAGGCCGAGCCGCGTGGCACCCTGAAGCGGCTCGTCTGTCCGCGACGCTCGCCCACCGCATGTGAGCGCCGAGACGACCGCTTCGGCCCGGCTCATGCCGTGGGGCAAAGTGAGAGGTAAGTTTTCCGGTGAATCGGCATCGATAGACAAGTCATGATCCTCTCGATTCAGTAGACAAGTAATGATTTCCTCGATTATCTCGATTTCGCATCTCCAATTAGAGCGGTTGGCTACGTATGGTGCGAAAAAATCTCAACATACATACATAGCCAAGTAATGGTTTTCTCGATTAAGTTCTTAAAATTTTTTACATTATTTCTCCCCCCCCCCTCCCCCCGATTTGATCTCAGTTGCTCCATGAGTGTCGCGCCACAAGACGTAGAATTTATCGGCATCTTTCGTCGAGCTGTGCAACCCTCCGTTACTGCGAACGGCTCGCGAGAAGCGGACATCAGATAACTGCTTCTGAGCTTCTGTTTCTACACACGAGGGAGGCAGAATTTTCCCGCGAGTGCTGTGCAGAGCGTGATGTCGCGTGACGGTCAGAGCGATATTTTTAATACTCAGAGGTGCAAGTTAACCAAATTAAGTACAGGACCAAATCTTGACTTAAAGCTTTCGTGACTGCAGGAATTCGTATTCTTTGGGCCTTTCGGTAAAGTCACGTAGATAGGTTCAAAGAAAGATGTTTTTCTTGTTCGTACTCTTTGGTTCTATTGGGTAAAGTTACGTAGGTGAAAATACGTGACTTTACCAAATAGAACCAAAGGGTATGGATCCTAGCAGTCACGAAAGCTTTAAATCTAGAATTTCTTGTTCGTGTTTTTTTGTTTGTTGTGGTTGCACCCGATTCAAGAGCCGAATGGCTCACAGGGCTATACCAAAATAAATAAACTGAAACTGAAAACCCAGCCACCTCAAAAATAAGCAATTCCTTGGTAATTGACTAACACACCGAAAATATTGTCTACAAAGGTATTGATTTTGCGGCTGCTGTTCAGTTAACACGTTTAGTTTTCGTGGTCTCCGTGCGGTTTTGATGATAAACCTTTAGAAAGATGTTTCCATAATCATATATCATGTTGCGTGCATACAAAATTTCCGCAGCTAATATTCAATTAATGTGTTCTAATGGTCCATGTGGGAGATACTGTTTCGAGATGCCAATGCATTCCAAGCCCTATGCTTCACAAGGTCAAGGTGTTAAATCAACGTCAGTGGAAGCTACATTGTTTAGAATTATTTTGGGGAATAAAACAGATCCCTTCATTGAAAACCATCAATATTTCTATTCCAATTCAATGATTGTATATTCGTCATCAGGAGTTGCTGTGGTGCAATGGTGAGCTCACTGGACTTGCAATACAGAGGTCCACTGGCATTCAATCTCCCGGCGTGGCAGTTGAAACGACAGTAACAGGTATATTCTTGGTTCTTTCGGTAAAGTCACATAGAAAGGAAACAATAAAATAATAAAAATATAAAACAAAACAATAAAATCATTGTATATTGTTTCCCTTCTACGTGACTTTACCGAAAGAACCAAGAATATGAATCCCTGCAGTCACGAAAGCTTTAAATCAAAGTGGCAAGTATATCAAATTTGTCCTGCCCCCCGATTCTCCCGCAGCCTCTGTCCACCCAACAAAATAAATGGCTAAGCCACAGTTAGTCAATCGGCAGGTCGTGTGTGGTTGGGGTAAAGCGTGGGTGCTCCCACGTCATGGAATGCGACTGACCAACGTGGAAGAATAGGCCAAACACCCTGTCAGCTTCGCTGTCACTGGAGGCCCTTCCGCTAGCAAATTGGCAGGGCTGCACCTTTTTACCGTTTTTTTGTTTGTTCTCGTCCATCACCAGCGGTCGGGCAATGATGAACCAGGGCAAGGCGGCAGTGAAGACCAGCTCCCAGCAGCAGCAGCAGCTGCAAGGCAGCAGCCCGGGTATGGCAGGCACCCTGGGCTCAAAGGGCATGGGTCCTGGCGGCCACCTGACCACCAAGGGGGCGGCACCGGGCGCCCTGAGGGTCGGCAAGGGTCGCGGCAAGCGGGAGCGCAGCGAGTCGCTGGAATCGCGAGACCAGCGCGAGACCAACGCCTCCAACGCGGAGTCCGACTGCAAGGGTGCGTACCCGCGGGGGATGCGATGATGCCACGGGGGGCGTAGGGGGGTGGCAGCCCCCGTGGCGTTGGTGGGTTTGGAATGGGCTGAAGGCTCGTTGACCCCCCCACACCACTTCCCTTCTTCCAACACCCCCCTCCTCTCTCTCCCCCTTATAAAGTATTATAGCTGTGGCTCATATCTGTAGAAAGAGATAATGAGATACAGGCGGTCCTCCACTCTTAGTTCCTGGAAAACCCATCATAAAACGGATCGTCGTAAATCGGACCCGGTTTTCCCCCATGGACAGTAGAAACCGTAGAAACATCACCTGCCGTTGTGTTTCTCCTTCCAATCGGCCGTATTTAGCAGGGTTTAATAGGTAAAATTCCACAAAAAAACACTTGAGAATAAGAAAAGATCCATGCCAAGTCACATCGGAAACCAGATTGACTCTCTTAAAATGTTTTGGGAGTTGCATTGTAAAATCAAATTTCTGCACCGTAAATCGATCCATGGTGGCTTTATATAAATGTCGTGAATGTGGATCGCCGTAAATCGGACCATCGCAAACCAGAGACTGCCTGTAAATGTGAAAGGAGAACATTCTAAGTCACTTATTTGGAAAATGTATGGCTGAACTTTGATGTCAGTTAGACACGGGTCCAGGCCTGTCTGTGATGATCACCCTATATATGCCTCTGATTAATCCTTATACGAATAACATTTGATCGGAGGATATTGATGAAAATGGAAATTTTAGTTAAGGATGTAGTTTAATCAATGCCGGGTCTACACATGAGCGACCAAATCACTCTAGCATTAATCGCGCAACTCAAATTGCCTGCAACTGCTATGTCCACATCTGGGAAAATATTTTCCCAACAAGGAAATTACACGACGCATTCAGGATTCCAACGACCAGTCATTGTTCGCAAATGTGTGCACGTGATGGAACGCGTCGCTACAAATGGACGGGCAGATCGAAGCTTGAAAGTCGTGTCTGTGTTCCTGTGAGCGACCGGCTCGCGCGACTGCTCGCAAACTCGGTTGCAGAAACGTCCAGATGTACACGATTCCGGTGAAATGTATGCGGTTGTGGACCGGCATTTTATTTTGGCTGTGTTGTGGAAACCTCACGAGTTGCTGTCGTTGCCTTAGCCCCCTTCACAAGAGGTCACGCCGCAAGCTTTGGTTGCAGAGCCTCCTTCGATTCCACGTGGACGTCGGGCCTCGGCCGAGCGCCGTGCAATGGCACGGCCTCGTGGTCCAGAAGCGACTCTCGGATGGCAGGGTGTGGTAGAGGGGTGGGCGGGGGGCAGGTGCGGCGGGTTATTACGTATTTCAGTTTGTCATCTTATACGTCCCGTAACGGGAACTCGCTTGGCTGTGCGTATTTGACGGCGATTGACGAGGCTGGGCCCGTCGTTTTTTCCGCCGCCGTCCGGTGGTGGAGTTTTTTTTTTTGTTTGCGGGAGCCGCGGAGGGTTTGACTCCGAAACGAAACGACCACCGATCTCGCGGCCGTCGGCTTCCGCACCTTTTTTGCTGTCCCTGAGCCCACCTAGCCCCCCCTCCCCCTCGACCCCCCCCCCCCACACCCCACAACTCTAGGCTGCCGAGGAAAGGCTATTCTCGGCTTAGTGCCAGGGTTGTTATTGATGTGCCACAAGGAGACAGTATATTTCCCTGAGATCAATACAGCAGGCCGTTTGCACTTATTTTCCATTTTACTGCTCAGCTTGGGGAAAAAATATGTACTGGAGTGATATAAACAAGCAGAAACTCCATTCCACTGCTGCCAGCGGTTTGTTAATCGTAACAACTGTGCGATGCGCATGTCCATGTTTGGCAGGCAGGAGTGCATGCGTGCCCGGGAGCACAATATAGAGCATTGCTATTCAAGACGTCCTTGCGAGGAATATAAAGGGGAAAAAAAATTAATGGAGTGTACCATTGCTCACAGGGGCCATTCCTCTGCGCGGCTGTGCAGTCGTTTTTACTTTAATTGTGGAGTGTACCATCTTACGTGGGGATGATTTCTTCACGCGGTGGAATGTCCCACCTGCGCACGAACGGATTGCAATGCTCCATCTCTGCGATGAGAGAATTCTAATTTCAAATGTTAAGTCTGAACGTTTTCTTCTTGGTTCACGAAATTATAATAATTCTGGCGCTTTTTTTTTATTTCGTCAGTGAAATCCTCATTTGAGGCTGAAAACAAAAGTTCAAGCATGTTCTGCATTGAGATGTTTGATCAATCACCCTAATGAGTGTTTGGCGATTGGGAGAATACTAAGACTACCCGCACATAACTGCATAGCACACAAAGCATCGCACGGATAGTTTGAAAAATCTATTCCTGTGCCTTCATCTCCAGATCCCGAGTGAGGCAGTCTCCTGTCCAAGTACCAGGCCGACCGTTAATTGGATTGCATTTTGTTGGGATTGCTGGGGATTGTTAATGTTTACCTAGGAGGGCCGCACTCTGGGAAAGTCTTGTTTGAGATTTTTGTTTATTTCCTCTGCAAGTATTTTTTTGTTTCCGCGAGGTGCCCAGAGAAATACACGTCCCCAGCGGCAGCATATTTGTCTTTTCGTTCTAGAGGGGGCGAGATGTTAACTCTCTCGCCTCGCTTGCAGGAGGTTGTGGGTTTGGTCCCGACCCTGACGCCTGAAATATATTTGGAGTATGCATGTCTTTCTCCCCGTGGTCGCGTGGATTTTTCTCCGGGTCCTCCGATTTTTCCTGCCACATTTAGAATCGACTTCGCGCATTTAGAGTATTTGGCTGCTATAAATGTGTACAAAAACCATGTTGGTGAGCTACCATTTGCGGTCAGGTCGCTTCTGAAAAAAAGAGATATGTAGCTCAGTGGGCCTTACCTGGTCAAAGAGAAAAATAGATAGAATACTGCATGTGCTTTAACCACACATGTGCACCCTTGTGTTTCACGGTGGATGTTAAAACCACGCGGCATTATTCAACATTAGAGTCGGGCCAAGTGTGCCGGTGTCAAAGGTGCAAAGTTTTCAAAATGTGAAAATGACTCGCAATTTACTTAATTGGGGGAAAACTCATAAAAAATAAAATTATTATTTGTTAATTTACCAGGTAAGGACTACTAAGCTGAATTTCAAGAAGTGACCTTGCCACAAATGAGAGCCCAACGAATCATGGCTTATCATGTGGAAATGTATAGCAGCTAAATGCTCTAAACGCACGTTGTTTCTAAATGCAGAGGGAAAAACCGGAGGTCATGGAGAATAATCCACGTGACCACGGAGAGAACATGAAAGCACCAAATATACAGGAGTCAGGGTCTGAATGGAACCCACGACCTCCTGCATATCAGACGAGGTAGTTAACATCTCTCCACCGTGGCGCCCATAACGGTTGGGGGGAGACCCTTCCGCCGGGCAGCGGCGTGGTCGAAGGAAGTCGCAGGGCTGCACCTATGCCTTTTTCACGAGAGCGCTCCGCTGTCTGTGACGTGTCCCACGCGCGTGCAGACATGGTGTCCCGCGGCAAGCGGAAGTGCGTGCTGGAGAAGAAGACCCCTTACAGCGGAGACGAGTGGTGCTCGGGGCCCGACAGCGATGCCGACGACAAGCCCTTCCTCGCCGCCAGTGCCGCCCCCAGTGAGTGCCCCGTCACCACACGTCGCCTTGCCCCCTCTTCGCCGTTATGTTTCACGCGTAGTAGAGCTTTCGCGACCGATATTATCCTTAACAAAGGTTTTTTTTGTTTGTTTTTCGGGTCAGATACGCGTAAATATAAATGTGTCGTTAAACCCGCCGCCACCCGAGACACAGCGAATTGGTAAAGTTTGTCACGTAAACAAAACGTGACCAAAGAATTACTACTTCAGCATACCTGTGTGTTGGAGAGTAAACGCACAACATGTACGCTTTGAGTACGGCGTTTCGCTGGTGATTACAACCAGCTCCATCAGACGATTTTCCAAAATTGTGGTGACATAACCTTTGCTCTATTTAAGACTAAAACAGGAAGACTGTTTTGGCAAATCGCCTGATGGAACTGGTTGTAAACACCAACGAAACCTCTCCCCGTGTTCTCGCTGGGCATCGCTACTACTGCTACTACTGCGTGGGGTTTTCGCGCTTGTGCTGTATAGCTCAACCCGAGCGGCACCCAAGGAATGGAACGCGTCCGAGAGGACGTCCACCGAGGAGGAGATGGAGCGATGAAATCGGTTCGTGTGCAGCTGCTCGGATCATTATTACATCGCTGGATCGTGAGAGGTGGCGGCGGTTTGGCGAGGCCACCGTCCAGCATCGGATTGACCATGGCTCACGATAATGATGATGATGCTTTGCGGAGCTCCGATGTGTTTCTGGATCGCACCGCGTGTTGCTTGGCATGATGCCCGACGTTTCGCTCCACGTGCTGGGAGCTTCTTCAGGAACTGATTTTAGCAACTCACGTTCTATATGTAGCAGCGGTTGAATTTCCTCGGCATTTTTTTGTTATTTTAATCTTAGTGTATTCGACGACAACCTGTCGAATCTTAGTCAAATCTTAGTCTGTATGTAAGTATTTTGAACTTCTTTCGCACCATACATAGCCAATCATGCCAATCGCTTAGTCATTCTCTTGGTCTAGCTGACTAAAGGTGTCAAACATTTAGTCCACTCTCATCGGACATCAAGCGGAACAGCATGCGATGCAACTCGGAAACACATCGGAGAGATTTCTGGGCATTGTCGCTGAAACCTCATTGGTCAGTTGGCCTCCATAGGACTGTAAGATCCTCGACTACTGTAATTGTAACGTGGTGCCGATGATTGTGTCGAAAATGCTATTTTATATTTCTATGAGTATACGTCTAAAAAAACAACTCATCACATTCATCAATGCACGATCACTGAATAATTAGTGTAATTATATAGCTCTCCAAAGCTAAGCAATCGCGGAGCCTGGATGGGTGACCCACCCTGCACAGAGGTTTTCGTAAGCTTGCAGAGCTACCTGCTGGTCAACCGAGGGCAGTGCAGCAACACCCAACATTCCGCTCTTGTTCTGTGCTCCTTAGCATGCTCACCGCCTGCACCAACCCGCACCGATCACGTGGTAAAGTATAGTAAAAAAAAAACGCCCACGGCCTGCTCACCATTTATAGGCCGTCATTCGGCAGTGGCTTGACAAATGGCTGTAGATGTGCTATGTGGTATGGGGGGTACGTAATGCCTTCTGCGGGGGGGGGGGGGTCTTTTGTGATGAATTGTCTTCGGCAGAGCGAGTGGATGACGATGCGGGTCGCAGTGAAATGGGCTGCACGCAATGCCACGGGCCATATCGGTGGAGAGAGATGATCCTAGAAATTTAAAAGGGGAATTCTAATCTAAATCGATTACGATGTAAATCCACACATGAACTTTGAGTTGAGTTCGACACGGGTGCCGCAATTCATCAACCTTGCAGGTTTCTCCGTGATCAGCAGCCTATTTATGCGACTGATAAATCGTTATACAAATTGCATGTGATTGGAGGATATTGATTAACATGGAAATTTTGACTCGTGTGGCTGATGTTGGCACAGTGGGGTTTTGAGCACCCTGGCACAAAGCATCTGTCTTTAATCGCATGTGCCCTGAATTTTAAACAAAAGTAATAGCAGTATCCATGCATGTTTTTTTTTTATTCAACGCAACTGAAAAGACTGCACAGGGGGTGGCCGGGAGGTCATGAAACCTTCAGAGGCGGCGGCCCCTCCTCTCGCCTGCCCTGCGGCCTTCCCAGCGGTCCTCGCAGGCCTTCCAAGCATGCCCCATGCCCCCACGGGTGCCCGCCCCCCCTCCAGGACCAGTGAAGGCCCGGCCCTCATCTGTGCTCATCTTCTCCACGGAGCTGGCCAATAGGTGAGGCCGTGACCTTTGGCGGGATGCTCTCACGTTGCCGTAGCACTCTCCGCCGTCATAGCGTGAGAGTCGAACGCTCCACGCTCCTCATCGTGTCGTGGGATGTTGAGGTCAATTTGATTATTTTTTTTCCGCAAATTTGCCTTGATGTTGGTATTTTAAGGAAAACTTCGGGTATTTTTAATTTTCAGATCGTTGACGTAATAATTTAACGTGTCTTCGCTATAGCAAAAGCGACGTCACCTGACGTTACATGACAACCACTGTTGGCGAGGAAAACACGGACGGAAGTAACGCTAAGAAGTGACATCATTTCCCGTGACAACACATTTTCGGATCAATCCAAAACACGTTTTTTTTCCCTTCCAGATCGCCCGAAATTTCATACGCAGATCCCGATTCTTCATACATTGGTCACCAACACGTTCCGATTCACAAGTAATTGAACACCGTCCTGGACCCTGGCATTGGACGGTTGTTCAATTCATTGCCCTAATCACCACTGAATCGGAAACGCGTAGGTGAGCAACTATTAAACACTGGTTTAACGTGGGTTACTGAAATCCATTATATGGAGGGGAATTTTGGAATTTAATTTGAGCATCTGATACACAATCGTAGACTTTTGCCTTGTTTGCAGTTAACACACAAGTATTGTGACTAAACAAAGTTGAAAAGTGGGCGATTTAAGACTACGTGTCACGTCGTCGAAATTTTAACAGTTAGCTACTTGTACAAATACTACCGTTCAAACGTTAAGTAATGCATTCTCGCCTACCTCATGCTCATTCCGTGGTGAATGTGACTATTACGTTAGGGTGGCACACGGACGACGACGATGATGATGACAACGACGATGTTGGCAAATGCGTGCTGCGTTCGTGCGTCCGCGCGTTTTACACATCTCTGTCGGAGCAAGGTCGCAGTGCGGATTCAAGCGCAGTTCAAGAACGCGAGCCGGCAATAATAGTCGTCTTACGCGAGAGGAGTGCCTTGCTTCGACGAACGCGTTCAATCTGCGAGTTCGTGAGTCGCCTATTGTTAAATAATTGGTTTATTAATCGTTCCTTTTGGTATCATGGCCCCTTGCACACAGTCATCAGATGTTAACCAGAGGACGTGGCGCTTTAACCCAGCGTGCATGTGGAGCGAGTAATTAATCCCATAATTTAATCAGGTCATCAACGAAGGCAATGTCTAGAGCTTCATTCTCGTTTCTTAGAGCGATGAATCTGCAGGTAAATGGTTTTACGCGCGCCTTGTGCTTGTTTGCACACGTGCCCGCGCGTGTGTGTTCACGCAAAACAAAGATCCCCCGTATAGCCTTAACAGACTGTTGGGGCAAGTGCTGTTAGCGAACACCTATGAAGGCCAGAACGGCACATGAGGGGGTGGGTGGCCAGCACCACGCCCAGCTGCCTTAGTCTCTCCAGTGGTGATGTTTTTACACACCGCACCATGTTCTCATTTGAGGCTGAGTCAACCTCGTGGAGGCCCAGGACACGGTTCAGATAATCGTCACCGATGTTGGGTGTGAGCGGGAATCGAACTCGGGCCGCCAGGTTCGTAGCGTAGCGTAGGGCTAACCGCTACACTACTGCTCCCCCCCCACACACACACACGCGCGTGCTTGTGTTGCGAATGCGCGTGTTGCCCGCGCACGTGCACGCTAATTCCCTTCCCACCCACTGTAATAACACGCGTCGTTGCTCGGCCTTTCCCATCGATTTGTCGTGTGAGCGGTTGAGCCGGCGCTGCGCCTCCGCTGCCGCATGTGCGCCGGCTGCCTCCGCGCCGCTGCTGTGCGTATGTTGAACTTCTCTCGCACCCGTACGTACATAGCCAACCGTGGATGTACGTTGAACTTCATTCGCATTGTACGTAGCCCACCGTGCCAATCGGAGGTGCTCTTGGGCAACCGAGCACCACGCAGGGTTTGCCATCGGGCCCGATGAGCAACCATTTGTATTTCCATCCTTAGTGTGGGCACGGACGTGAATAGTGTTTTCGTATTGATTCTTTTAACTTATTAACCCTTTCCAGTGCTGATATGGTGGGCTGAAAATGTATTCGATGCCAACAACAACTTTCAGTGTAAACTGTTTTATTTAATTGAACGCGTAAGGTTTTTGCAGCTGGAGTTATGATTCGTAATTTATTTTATGGTTATGGCCGTGTAATCGTCTGGCAAAGATTGTCTCTTGATTTACAGATTTGAATTGGAGCCAAACAGAATAATTTTTCACATGCTAGTGTTTAACGACGTGCCAATCATTGTAGTTGCAGTTCACCGATGAGTTGAAGGACTCTTCTGTAATAATTATTCCGGTGTGCTGAAACAATTATGTCTGGTGAAGTGAACGCTCTCACATGCGACATTATAATTTGTTTGGTTATGTCAGGTGGTGGCGGGTTACTCGACAGAAAATTGGCCGGATTATTAAGTGGCGTCGCCCAAAATCAGTTCTTAATCAACATTCAGCTTTAGCTGTGTTTATTGTGCTTCTCCAAATAGGGGAAACTATGAATGTTGGGACCTTGGCCATATATATTGTATAACAACAGGAAAGTCTCTCTGAGTCTCAATGTGTTTCATTCAGCAGGATCCTGCTGAGTTTCTCAGTCGAGGGTAATCCTGCTATGTGCATTCCCGCTTGTAGAAATTGCGGGTAATTAAAACATTTGGATTATGAAGCTGGCACGTGTGGCCTAATCTTTTGAAAAATAACTTAATACCCATGGTGACCCTCATGGGAACCAGTGGCTCAGTGGTAGAGTGAGTCGCTCACAATCGGAAAGTTATGAGTTCAATTCCTGGTTGGATTTTGACTCGGCCCATATTCCCTCAGGCGATAAACTGAATAATGGTGGCTAGGGGAGGCCTTCATCCAGCAGTGGATTTATCTTGACTGGATACGATATGTAGTCTGTCAGCCGTGTATCATATGGTGTACACGGTGTGTGGGGGTTGTGTATAGTGTATGCAGTGTGTCTCGCGACAGTTGCCTGCCGAGTAGTGCACACAGTACTGTACACAAACAATGTTGTCCCACGTCCGACCGCATCGCCGCATATGATGGAATACAAACCTCACGTAGAACATTTTGTTTAGAAATAGGTTAGCCGCATATGCGCAAAAACACACACACCCCGAAGTCGCGTTCGGTGCCACTTTAAATGTTCATCAGTGACACGTTGTGCCTGGGAATGTGTCTGGTTATGGAGCTCCCAGTCGTTTGCTCATGCTGTGAACTCTGTGCGGGATATAACCCTGCATTACGCGTGTCCACTACCCATTGCAGGGCAGCGGAGGCAGTGACGCAGGGAAGGTCCGACTCCATTCTCTCCTTCCACAAGCAAGAGAAGGGCTTCCTACAGAAGGTAGATTTTTGCCCACACAAACATATGATCACCCTTTGAATGCGGGATACAATGACAGCATTTGGGGATTAAGGCAACGATGGTGGTGGTGGTAATTATGGTGGTGATGACGACGATGATGATGATGATGCTGATGATGTGTGTATACCTGCTGCTGTCGCGTGCATAGAACAACCAGCCGCCGGTGAGCCGCACCTTGTCGCAGCTGCTGCAGCAGCAGCAGCAGCCTCACCGAGCTACACCACCTGGAGGTGTCCACCAGCAAGTGGAGCACTCGCCCTCACACCCCCCACAGCCGCAGCAACCAAAACCGCAGCAGCAGCAGCAGCCGCCCTCCGAGCCGGGCCCCCACCCTCTTCCGCCGCAGGAGAATGGCCCCGCTTCCGAAACGTCGGGCAAGGATGGCGGCGGCGGCGGCGGCGGCGACGACTCGGCCGTGGAAAACGGGTCACAGGGACGCGAGACGCCCTCCAACCGCCAGAGTCCGCTGCCGGGGCCAGCCGCTGCGAGACCGCCGGCGGGGGAAGGCCCGACCAATGGCACGGAGGCGGCGCCCGCTGCATCGTCGCAGGCCCCCGGGAGCTGCAGCGGTTGCGCGACGCCGGGGCACGGCGGCGGAATGCCGGCAAACCAGGCGGGTGGCCCTCGTGGCCCCGGCGGTCCCGGCGGTCCCGGCGGTCCCGGCGGCCCCGGCGGCCCCTGCGTCCCCGGCGGGCCGTGCGGCCCTTGCGGCCCATGCGGCCCCGGCGGTCACCTGCTGGGGAACACGGAGGGGTTGTCGCTGGAGCAGCTGGAGCACCGCGAGATGTCTCTGCAGAAGCTGCGCGACATCCAGAGGATGCTCTTCCCAGAGCAGAGCGACCAGGACTTCCCGCTGCGGACTAGCACTTCCAACTGGGGCCACAAGCCCAACCACGACGGCGTGGGCATGAAGAGGGCACCCGACGAGCAGCTGATGCCGCAGGGCATGAAGAGGCCCGAGGACCCGCTGCAGGCGATGATGTCTCAGACGCAGAACCTGGGCGGCGGGCCGCTGGAGCCCGGCGCGATGCAGCCATCGGCCATGCACCCCAACTCGATGCTGTCACTGCAGGAGCAGCCGCCCGGGCTGCACCCCGGGGCCCTGCTATCGATGCAGGAGCACCAGGCCGGCCGGGCCATGCAGATGTCGCCCGGCAGCGGGCAGGAGCAGATGACGCCGGAGCAGCTCGCGTGGTTCAGGCTGCAGCAGGAGTTCTACGAGGATAAGCGGCGAAAGCAGGAGCAGGCCGTCCACCAGAGGGGCTTCCAGGAGATGATGATCCTGCAGCAGCAGCAGCATCCGCTGGGAGGGATGCCGAGGCCGCCGCCCCCTCCGTACCGGAACGTTCCTGGGGGGCGGTTCCCCGACGGTATGATGCCCGGCATGCGGGACCAGTTTGGCGACCCACTGGACTTCCCGGGCCCCATGGTGGCGAGGAGCATGGGCGGCTTCAACATGGGACCGAGATTCCCTGGGAATGCCATGCAGAGGTTTCCCGGCGGCGGGCGGAGGCTCATTGACATGGATGGCCCCATGAACCCGATGCAGCAGCAGCAACTGCACCCGGGCCTCGCGTGGCAGGACGAGCTGATGTCGGTGATGCCGGGCGGCCTGGGGCATGAGCGGATGCCGGTGCCCGAGCAGCTGCTGCGCCAGCGGATCATGGAGAAGCGTGGGATGAGAGGCTTGGGCATCCCGGCGGGGCGAGGCATGCCGCAAAACCCGGACATGGAGCGGCTCTTCCACTCCCAGCGCCACCTGGATCCGGCGATGAACGCGGGGCTCTTTTCCCCCCTGCCCGGCGACCACTCGCCCGTGCCACACCCGGGCATTGATCCCGGTGTCCTGCAGAGGGGCATGCTGATGAGTCCCAATATGGGCGGCCCTCAGCCGGGACTCGGTGGGCCGGACTTTGAGATGATTAGTCCTGCCCCGAGAAACCTCAACCTCATGTCCCCGCAGCAGCAGCAGCAACAGCAGCAGCAGGCGATGATATCCCAGAAGCTGCGAGACTCCCTGCAGCAGATACCAGAAGAGGACATATTGCTGGGACCGATGGCGGAGAGCGCAGACCTCCTGATGCTGGCGCAGCAACACCAGCACCAGCAGCAGCAGAAAATGCTGATGTCAGCGCAGCAGGGCCAGCACGGCATGATCATGTCGCCGCTGCAGGACTTCCCCGGCGGGCCCGGCTCGTTCCCGGACATCCTGCAAGGCATGGAGGCGCTGGAGCAGCAGTTTGGGCCCGACCAGGCCATAATGGGCAACAACCTGGCGAGGCCCGGCCCCGTGGGCCCCGCAGGAGGGCCCATGGGTAACGCGAGCGTCGTGCCGCCGCAGAGGGCGCTGGGACGACGGCCGGCAAAGCTGCCATTGCCGGCTTCTCCGGGAATCGGGGCGATGAAGTCGCCGAGCCTGGGGCCCGTCCACTCGCCCGCCGTCAACTCGCCCAGCACCGCCATGGCCACCCCACCCAGCGCCTCCATGAAGTCCCCCGCGCAGGTCTGTGGATGCTGACCGTTTCATTTAATTCACAATTATAATTGGATATCTGTTTTTTATTTTTTATTTTATTAAGTGGCTGATTGGCTCAGGCGGCTAAGGTTTTCACCGGCCCGCAATGACCAGTGTGGGTAAGTATGGTTAACTAACTGTGGTGAACCTGCACAGCGTGGAGAGGCCCTCGTCCAACAGTGGACTGACAAAAGGGCTGTAGGTATGTTTGTTTAACTTCTTTAGCACCGTACTCATACCTATCAACCTATACGGTTTACCCGTCTTCTTGGACAGGTCCATATGGCGTACAGCCGTTTCTGTACAGGCAAAAAAAATAGTGTCTGTTTCTCCCTTGTGATGGGACTTTGTGGGATGAACGTTGAGATTTATAACGGGCACGGGATGACCAATAATGTCTGAATTGGTCTGTAATAAGGTGGGCACTGATAATGGATTCACAGGTATGCATACGTAGCCAACCACGCTAATCAGAGGTGCGGGGCAAGGACAACAAACTAAACACAAAAAGCAGTTCTAAAGAGTTCATCATGGGCTGTACGTGTACATCGACCTTCTGGGATTCTGACCCCATCACCCCCATTGTCTAAATATACTTTGGGCCAGCCTTCATTTTGCGAGCAGTTTTCCACAATAGATGTTTGCTCAATAATGGCCCCTCCTGGCTCGTTCCTCGTTTCACTGCTCTCAGGGCTGTGATCCTGATGAGATGTTAACTACCTCGCCTGGTATACAGGAGATCGTGGGTTCGATCCTAACCCTGACGCCTGTATATTTGGAGTTTGCATGTTCTCCCCGTGGTCGCGTGGATTTTTTTCCGGGTCCTCTGGTTTATCCCTCAACATTTAGAATCAACGTGCGTTTAGAGTATTTGGCTGCTATAAATTTGCACGTAATAATCCACTTCATTGAGCTATCATTCCTGGCCAGGTCGCTTCTGAAAGAAAGTTGTATAGCATAGCGGACCTTACTTGGAAAATAAAAATAGTTTACATAAATAGAGTTTTTTTGGGTTAGATCGCATAAATACATAAATGTGTCGTTAAACCTGCCACCACCCGACACAGCAAACTAGTAAAGGTTGTCACGTAAAAAAAAAACATGCAAATTCGTCACGAGCACAGCACAACCGGTGTGTTGGAGAGCCAAGCCACAACGTTTACAATCTGAGCACGACGTTTCGCCAGTAATTACAACCAGCTTCATCAGGCGACAGCCAGATTTGTGGAGAAGTCCACCTTCCTAGTTGGCCGTGTCGGATGGTGGCGGGTTTAACGACACATTTATATATTTACGCGATCCAACCCCAAAAAACCTCATGCATTAGTGTCGTGAAGAAACTTCACCAAAGCGAGCGCTACCTGGCCCACTAAAAACGAGCTGGCTAGGCCCTGCGACTCTGCCTTCGGCAATCTGTGCCAGGCCCACTTGACCAGGTTTCGTAAACTGAGCCAGCTCGCTTTCTTGGTGGTCGTCATGGGAACACGGCATTAACCAGCATTTGCTGTCTCGTCCCAGGCACAAACGGCACTGGCGGCCTCTGCATCTGGGAGCGTGGGAGGTGGAGGCAGCGGCGGCGGAGGAGGAGGAGGTGGCGGCGGAGTCGGCTCGGCTCTGAGTGGGCGGTCTCCGGCGGGCTCACCCGCCCACCTGCGCTCCCCAGCCTCGTCCCTGCCGGCACCGTCGCCCGGGTGGGCCTCCTCTCCCAAGGCTCTGCCGCCGTTGCCGAGCCCTGGCGGCGTGGCGACGCACGGCAAGGGCCCGGCGAGCCACGGCGGAACCCCGGCCCCACCGCACACCGGCATGGATGCAGGTGCGCACGCTGCGTTAGGCTCGATCAGGACCACCGGAGTCGGCAAAGCGATGTCACTTTTCTTCGATGCAACGTCAGATTTCACGACGTGAAGATTATAGCCGGTATCGGTTGACCAGAACGTAGTGAGTGTATACCGTATTTTCCGGATTAGAAGATTGCTGTGGAAAGTAAGATGCACCTCAATCTTTTGTCAGTGAAGTTATACAAATCTGGTCACAGACGAACACACATGCTACCCGATTACAAGACGCACCCCCAATATTTTGCTTTAAAATAGAATGGGCGCAGTGCGTTTATAATCGAGACAATACGGTGTTTTTCATTACTTTATTGTACAGCGTGCCGAAGTCATTTCCCAAGTGAGTAACATTAAAGCACAACTTGATCACACTTACATTGTTATTGTACTGTTAATAAGACTTATCTACACAGGATTCCCCTAGCAAATAAAAAAAAATATCCAAGTAGTTTTTTTTATTTGATTGCGGAAAAATAAATTTTACCTCTTTGAGTGAATTTTCGGGTCAAGTAATGGTCTCATTGTGCTGAATAATAGATGACACGTTTCACTTTAAGAATTGGATTGTAATTCAGTCGTCATTGTAAAAGAAAAAAAAGACAAGTTCAAAAGTGCATTGCTTGTTTTGCGGCCATGTGAAATACCACATGTAATATTAATGTGGGCTGTTTAATGTTTAATAGGATCTGTGTGTTGTGAGTTTTTTAGTCAATAGTTTGGACAAACGTAGAGATGGAAGATTTCAAGGGTGCACATTGATTAATTTAGCTGATTAAATTTGTGTTTAGAGGTGGCCGGGGTGGCTATAAGGTTAGGGCGCTGAGCCTGCATAGCTAAGGTCCTGAGTTTGAAGTCAGTCAGTGTGTCTGCGATTAAACTGGGTTCTTGAGTGCGTTGAGTTGATAGTCTCGGCCCCATCAGCAATGACTGCACACCAAAAAAATCGCATCAAATAAAATTTGGTTCTATAACTTTGCTAGAATCCAGCTCTGAGAATTATAATATCGGTTTAAATGTCATGCTTCGAACCTCGCTCATGTGCAAAGCGAATGGGGAAAGTGCCGCCCGCGACTGTGTGGAGCACGTATTACGCAGCCGTTCTCCAACGCGCACCATTGCGTCGCTCTGCGAGAGATCCGAAATAATTCTATGTATCCCGGCGTGACGCTGATAGCACAATTGTAATTAAATTGCGGAAAACACGACAAATTAAATAAAATAAAAATTGCGTTTAATTCGCCCCCTTGAGTATGGCTGCAAGCACTGATATGCGAGCACAGTAATACAATTTTGAAGATTTTTTTTTTATGTCTACGAGATATTAAAATGGGTCGCGCGAGAACGACTTAACTGAGTTTCAGAAGGCAATATTTGAGTTAAAGTTATCAACGCAAATTATCTTGAAAAAAGTAACTTTCAGATTTGTTGGCAAAAAAACTTGAAGTTAAAAACATATAAAATCCTCACAGACCTAATTAACAGATGCAAGAAAACAGAAATGTAATAACTTTTTACAGTGCAATTTCAGAGGTCAAAGAGTTAGCTTGTCGAGAGCGGCGGTGTTGAAATGAGTGGGGCGGAGGTTTTCTGTTGCATCATCTCTGTGTACGCTCAGGAATTTTATGATGAAGTTAACATCCCCACATTGTATTCCTATCACTATCCCAGACATTCATCCTGGTCTGTAGGCGTTATTGAAAAGCACTTTAACGCTATATCCCAAGCAAATCGTCAAGCGGTCGTCGTTATGTGCATGCACTCATTATTGAATTCAGTACATGTGGTACGGACACATGATAATAATGTCCGGGCCACAAGATCTAAAGTGCCCCATTGTTTATTTTTAATATTTAGATGTGACGTTTCAGGCAGTGGCCCCTTCCTCTATGGGTAAACATAGACGTGGTCATAAATAAGTGCAGTACGTCGATGCATTTTACTGTAGTCCTCTGCCGCTCATAGCATGGCATAGCCCTGCAGATCCCTATAACAAATTGGCATGCATGTTGATTGCCCATTGATTAACATCCACTGTGGAGGAGATGGCGCGATGGTACGCAGGAGGTCGTGGGTTCGATCCCAACGCTGACGCCTGCTGTATATTTGGAGTTTGCGTGTTCCCCCCGTGGTCGCGTGGATTTTTCTCCGGGCCCTCTGGTTTTTCTCTCCACGTTTAGAATCAAGACGCGCTCAGGGTATTTGGCTGCTGTAAATTTTAGTTGGACGATCATTTGTGGCCTGGTCGCTTCTGAAAAAGAGCTATATGGCTCAGTGGGTATCACTACCTTGTAAAATAAAATAAAAAAAAAATTAGTTTGCCATTTACACTTATTACACCTGCAGCATTAACCAGGGCGGCGGCCGGGCCCTCGTATTCCGGCAATGAGCGGTAAACACGCCACGGCTGGGCCACACGCATCCCGTCGTCAACAACGCCAGTGCCTTTTCTCCGGCGAGTGCAGGCACCAGCCAGGCGGGGCAGCTGGTGAGCGTGGCCGGCCCCGCCAACTTTCCGTGCACAACCAAGGAGCCGCCGCTGCCGCCACCACCCAGCTCTTCGCAGCATCCCCTGTCGCTCATGTCGCGGATGTCGCAGTTCGCGATGCCCAGCTCCACGCCGCTCTACCACGACGCCATCAAGACCATCGCAAGCTCCGAGGACGACCCCCCTGGGCCGGACCGCTCGCCCGGTCTCCCGGCATTGCCGCCCCTCGCCGGTGAGTTAAAGGGCTTGCCACCTCCGGGACATACTGTCGGAAGAAGATTATCTTGCGATATTATCGGACAGCAGAGGCGAGAAATACGTGTAAATTTATTGTCTGGAGTTGTGTATTATTACTTTTATGCAACTGACAAAAAAACGTAACTTTAATTGTCCCGAGAAGACATGCACATTCCCCCAGGACGAGCTGCTGGCCAAAAAGAGGATGATCTGGGAAAACCAGGATGGGGTGGCAGCTCTGCTGGTGGTGGCCTTATGTGTGCTGGGTGGTAATCTATTGCTATGTAAAACCGTCTCCTGGAATATGATACTGAACAACTAGACAAAATCACGTTATCCAGAAGACAAATCCATCCTCCGGATTATAAGACGGCCCCGTAACTTTTCCTGTTAGACACAGGGGAAAAAAAAACTGCATTATAATCCGGAGCATACGGTGGCAGCATATGGTTAAAATTATTGTTTTTTTTTATGTGTGTGTGGCTTGCAAAGGTCCCGGCCTGAACACAGGACACATGGGGCCTGGCAGGATTCCTTCCCAGAATACTCTGGGGCCAGGGGCGGCAGGAAGCCCCCTGGGGATGAGCCTGGCGGGGCAGCAGGCCCTCGCGCACGGGCCCGGTGGGGCAGCCATGCTGTCCGCTCACAGCCCGGCCGGAAGTGGGCCCATGAGCCTGGGCGGCCCAATGCATCACTCCGAGATTGTGCCAGGTACATTACCGTGCCGTCTGATGCATTGCCGCGTTGTCCACGATAATAAAAATAGAATAATAATACTTGCACCTAAGTCTTGGAGGTGGCGTGACTACTGTGCAGCATTTTCAGGATCTGAATTGCTTGATGCGCATCGTTGGCTTTCGCCTTGATGACATCTCATTCTTGATTTCTACTGTGCCAATAGCGTAAGGAAGGAAACATCACTTTTTATGTTTAAGCCGAGGGGAACCCCTGAATGGCAGCTTGATCCATCCATCCAGGAGTGTCAGATCCAGGTTTGGAGGTTGATGATCAGTGTATGTCAGCACTTCCTCTTGGCACAAGCCGTCCCTTTAAGTGAGAAGCGGCATCGTGCGCACAGGCTCAACTTCATTCTGCTATTTCCTATTCCACAATTCAATGGCAATCTTCTTCCGCTGACATGTACCGGCAGGGAACAGCACAGGAGAGACACACTGAACCTTCAGCCAGTGCCTATTCCAATAAACATGTCCTAGATTTGTACACAAACCCATAACGTGTTGTTGTGTAATAACGTATATAAACAAACCTCTGTTCTTTGTCTCCACATATAATCAAAATATATATTTTTTTATCCATCGGCCTATTGGCTAAACAGTATAATCCAGCAGCAGTTGTTTAAGCAAGCAAACTTCTGTAGCGGTTTTTGATCTTCTGGGTCTGTCTGTAAGAAGCAGGACTTGTTAAACGAGGAGTTCTGTTTGGCTTCAGAGGCACGGTGACCCATGTCAAGGTTGTTACCCTTTTTTGGGTGCTCCACGCCAAGCCGAATGGTTGGTGCATGCTTTGAATGCAACGCACCGTCGGTAAAATTAATGTATTTATTGAGCGATCACGCACAGATCATCATTGTCGTCGTCTTATGTCTGCCATGCTGCCGAGTAGAGCACAGTCCAGAATACGCGGTACTAACTTGGGGTGTGCTCATGATTTTCGGGTTAATCTAAAAAATATCAAATAATTCTGGCTGAGATACTACCTTTTGGATAATCCAGGAGGAAGAAAAACAAACAAACCCCAATGAAAGATTATTTCAAAAAGAAAGTGATGTGATGTCACTTCAGCTGTTTCCCCATAAAAAAGAAAAAATGGTGTTGCGTGGTGTCGAGTTAGCTATCGGATGGTGATCTGAAAATCCAAAGCTTTCTCTTAAATGCGAAGATCTGAAACGTTTCATCCTGAAACTCATCCCGAGTGCTGACCAATATGTACAGAATTATTTTGTAATATATCTCTCTACAAGCTCTCTCCGCACCTCCGATTAGCACGGTTGCCTACGTACGGTGCGAAAGAATGTCAACATACATAGACGGAATTTTGGTGATCTGGTCTCCCGTATGTAACAATGCACGCTATGAATTGACCTGACGGTCCAATGAAGGTCCCGCCTCTAAAAGATTATTGAGACTCGGCGTAGCTCTCGTGAATACACATTCTTGATGTGCTTGTGCAAAAGCGGCCAACAGTAAAATCTGCACAAGCTATTGCGTGAAATCCACGGTCCACACAATAAAGAATTGGCTCGTCTTTCAGGGAATACCGAAACGTGTGCGTTGGTACAAATCGGCAAGATCTTGAGCTCCTCTGTCGTGAACTTGATGCCCCGCTAGGTTAGGTCATCCGGTTAAACCTATATCGTTTTGTTTTGCTAACTCGGAACAATAATTTAGACTTGTGCAAGTGCACCTTCCGTCGACGTGCGCACAGGGACTTGGGCGTGTTTCCGTTCACGCGGCCGAGATCCGTAATAGCCGCGCCGTTTTCACCGTCGAGGCTGACGACGCAATCGTCTCTGCTGCGATTGTGCCGCACGAGCAAGGGGAGGTGTGTGCGGCAGGTTCACCGATAAGCGCTCTCGTGACACTTTTATCTACAGAAGGGAGCGATGGCTGCACCACGCCGACAGAGCCACTGTCTCCCCACGGCCCGCTGAGACGCGCGCGCTCGCTCGCAGAGGCACCCCCGGCAGATATTTTGATTAGGTTTCTTCAAGGTGTGCAGATTGGCCCGTTAAGCAGGGGATGACAGCATCGTAATGCAATTTTCATTGGCTCGAATGGCCGGCTGCTGTGCGTGGGCGTGCAGAACTGGTAGAAATGTGAGATGTATTTTGCCGTATTCTCTGGGTTTTATAAGACGCTTCGGAAAGTTGAAGACGCACACCCCCAACGCTCGTGCCCGGTGTCAATAAGGTTAAACACACCTGGTCACACGCACACAGCTAACGGATGATAAGACACCCCCCCACCACAACTTTTGCATTTAAATACAATAAATAGTGCATCTTGATCTGGAGAATACAGTTATGAGCGTATTTAGGTATCCGCAAAAAAGGTAGGTTATGGTAATTAAGCTGTGCTTAAGCAGTCAGTTTGTTTTGAGTTGGTTCATTGTAGTAATACATCAACCCCTATGACCCTTACTCATTTAAACGTTTGTTCTGAACCAGGATTTTTGGGTGTATGTCTAATCGTGCTCCGTGTACAATTACAATCTTGAGCGAGCCACTATTTAAATCTTTTTTTTATTTTACTAGATAAGGCCCACTGAGCTATGTAGCTCTTTTTCAGAAGCGACCTGGCCACAAATGATAGCCCAACGAAGTGGTTTTTCATCACGTGGATATTGATAGCAGCCAAATACTCTAAACGCATCTTGATTCTAAATGTGGAGGGAAAAACCGGAGGACCTGGAGAAAAATCCACGCGACCACGGGAAGAGAGACATGCAAACTCCAAATATACAGGCATCGTCAGTGTCGGGATCGAACCCATGCACTCCTGTATACCAGGCGAAGTAGTTAACTTCTCTCCACCGTGGCACCTTGCTGACGTTCCGATCTCAAAGCCATGTCTCGCACCAGCGCTTGCGAACGTGAGAGCATCTTGCGTGACTTGGACTAACGTCGCCGTTAAACCCCACCCAGCCCCACCACGTGTGTGTGTGTGTATGTATGTGCGTGTTAGGGCAAAACAACCCCCTACCTCCTCGCGGTGCCGGACGGGAAACTCTGTCGTGGACAGTGCTGTGGGGGGAGGGCCAATTCCGATTGGCTCCTCCCCTCATGGCGTCTGTGACCACCACAGGGGCTAAACGGGGGCTCTGGATGGGTGCGAGGGGCTGGTAACCCCTCCACTTTCAAAAAATTACCACAAAACTCCGACTTAAATATATAACTAATAAGCTTGTGCCGGAGGCCCCGGGGGGGCAGGCGTCTGTGACGTCTCCTGGCCAAACCCCAATTGGCGGAGCCAGGAGATTGAATCTCTACCCTCGGGGCTCCTCCAGAAACAACGAAAAGCCACTTTGTTTGGCCACGTGGAATGTTCAAACGCTCACTGCGGAGGAGAGGCTGCCACTCCTCTGTCGGGAGCTGGACCGGTACCGCGTGGATCTCTGGCATTCAGGAGGTCCGGTGGACCGGTTCTGGCTCCTGCCACCATGAGGGGTGGACAGTCCTCTACTCGGGGCAGCAGACTGTCAAACAACAGGGAGTGGCTCTTCTTTTGAACACAAAGAATGAAAGAAGCGTGGGAGCGTGGTGGTGAGGTGTGGGAAGCTGTAAGCCCCAGGCTACTTTGGGCTCGCCTTCCCATCAATCGGAGGCGAGGATTGGTGGTCGTGGTTACTTATGCCCCCACCGAAGACGAACATCCGTGGAGGGATGCAGGCAAAGCCGATGAGTCAGATGCCTTCTATGACCTCCTGTCACAGGTGCTGGCTAAAGTGGCCCCTCGGGATAGAGTCATCTTGTTGGGTTACTTCAATGCCCGAGTTGGTTATGATGCTGGCACCTGGTCTGGAGTGATTGGAGGGCATGGGCCGGATCAGCTCAATAACAACGGTAGGAGGCTGCTAGATTTTTGTGCAGCCCATGGGCTTGTAATTACCAACACGCTGTTCCGGCATCAGCGCATCCACACAACATCATGGATGCATGCCGGGTCCAAGCAAGAACATCTGCTGGACTACATAGTGACGGACCAGCGGATGCAAGCCCATGTCCTTGACACCAGGACCTACCATGGAGCTGATCTGCCCTCTGACCATCGACTTGTCATCTGTAAGATGCGCCTGCCATTCTTCCGCTCCGGTGGTGGGTGTACACCAAGGACCCCATTCCAACCAAAAGTGGCCTGGTCTCAGTTATCTGATGAAAGTTGCAAGCGAGAATTTCATCATCGCCTGCGGCTGGGGTTGGCATCATCCCCCACTCCTCCTGATGTCGAAGGTAAATGGGCGAGGTTTAGGACTGTGACTCATGCATCTGCAATGGCTGCTTTGGGTACGCGGTCCAGACCTCCCCAGAGACCCTGGCTGACTGAGGAGGTGTTCAGGATGGTTGAGAAAAAGCGACAGGCCCACTGTCATCGGCTACAGAATCCCACGTCAGAGAATGAAGAGGCTTACCGCAGCCTTCGCTCGGAGGTTCGGAGAGCCGTGAGGCGCTGCAAGGATGGGTGTTGGTCGCGGGTTGCTGAGGAGATGGAGTCTGCCTCAGTGGCCCACGATCACAAATCTCTATTTAACTCCATCAAACAAGTAACCTGCAGCGCCACACCTATTACCATCATTAGGGAAAAAAACGGTGACCCAATCTCCGACCACCAGGAACAGGTTTTCAGATTTGCTGAGCATTTCTGTGAGGTCCTGGGGGAGGGAAAATCCCTCAGCCAGGAAAACATCGTGGCACAAAGTGAGGATGACCCTGCTGAGGCTACGGTGCATCAAATATTGGAAGAAGTCACCGCCTGTGAGTGGCTGGCTGAAGTTCCATCTGTTGAGGAAGTACTGAAGGCGATCCGGAGTCTGAGTCCAGGAAAGGCAGCGGGCAGAGATGATCTCCCAAGCGAAATGCTGAGGGAGGGTGGCGTTTGTGCACAGACTGCCCTATATGACATCATAACAACAGTCTGGGCCACTGGACGGGTTCCGCAGGATTGGAAGGATGCCCTGGTGGTCCCCCTCTTTAA